AGTATATATCTGGGGGACCTCCTTTCTTCCCTACTATTAGTTCTCATCTGTCTTCTACTTCTTTCCTTCCCTCTCTCTCCCTCCCTTTACCTTCCTCCTTTTCACGCCTAACTCCATCTTTTCCTCTCTCTCTCTCCCCATAAACTGCACTGAACCTACCTCTCACCCACACACGCACATGAAACCCTTACTCCTCAGACATTGATGAGTGTGTCACTACTAACAGAAGCGCCCTGTGCCAGAATATCTGCACCAACACACTGGGAGGCTACAGCTGTACCTGTCCGAGATGGTACTACATAGAGGTTGGAGAAGACAACTGTACAGGTGAGAGTTAAATACCTGTATATTTAGTCATGAAGTAAAACAGTAATGGGCATGTGTCAGAATATAACCTCTTGTAGTCTTACTGTGGGTTGTGTCCTTTCAAGTCTGGTAAAATGGGTATAATATGTCAATTTTCATGTGACACTGTGTCTATGTGCTTGTAGGGTATTGCTTTTGCACGGCACCTGGTCTAAAAAGAATTTACTGGCTGTTTTATAACTCATCTAACTACAGATTTGTAAGGTTCAGATTTCAGAAGAAACTCTCTGTGGTAGTTTGCTAGTTCCATAATTTGTCTTTGTGACTTCATGGGAGTGTCATTCTGTCGGTTAGTCATTCTGTTTGTGTTCATTGCCGAGCGCATTAGCGCGAGGCAACTACTCCGTGTTGTATTCTCGCGATATGCGTACGTCGTCAATTAGTCACGCTTAGGAATGTCAATTGGTCACCAAAAGGAAGTGTAACTTCCGTCATTCGTAGGATAGCTTCCGCCGTGCGCGCAGATTCGTAGGAAGTCTGGCTTCGCGCGCAGTCAGTAGAGCGCGCGCACGAGCGGCCTCAGTCGGACTGTTTACGCATTGGCTGGCAGGCGCGAGGCAAAATATGCGCGTGCGCATTCTTAGTTAACTGTTACTCACCGCCCCCCATTCCCTCCAAATACTTATGTGCTTCAGTAGAAGCAATTATTCTTTCCATGCTGCAATCTAGTTTTTGGAATAATAGAGTGGCTTATAGATATTCTCAGAACTGCCCACCAACAGATGCACGCAATGTTACATAACCAGGCACACCTTCCTCCTGCTTACTTTACTAATTTATTACCTGACAATGTAAAACACGGTGAAGTGATCAAAGCCTTTTCATTCCTATTGTGGATATTTAACTTGTGGATAATAAGTAGGTCGCTCTGTAAATGAAGACGTCTGTCTAGTCAGAATTACAAAATTATTAATCAGCACACTTTATTACAAGTCACACTTTGTGACAGTTTTTGTCAACTAAAATGCTTCATGGTTCCGTTCTGTCCGAGGCAGAAATCTGATCTTTGTCACTGACTAACGAGTGCATTCACACGTAGTCCTTTTTCTACACCAATAAGATGCACACATTTCCATTCCTGTGACAACTTCCTGGATATTACATGTACACAGCGAAATGCTACACACCTACCTTTTGTCTATGATAGAGGTTCAGTGAAAAATAACACAGTTGCAGAATACTATTCACTTTTCTAGAGATAATGGTGTAGGATTATTGCACTCTTTCTAAGAGACATTAATGCTATGCCCACAAACATTTTGGTAACCAATTCCTCACTATGTACGGAAGATTTCTTTTGGATTAACCAACTTGTTGACACCATCTTCTGTGGGTTTTGCACTCTGACTCACTTGATAATCTAAACTAACCTTTGATCCTTTGGCAAGTACATCACGTCACTCACCAGGCTTGCCAAAAATGCAAAACAAATCACTTACTGGAGGGTTTCACCCTGAAAAAACGGAAGAACGTGTTGTTAAAATGTCTCTTGGCTGAGAGGAGGGGGTGAAAGCATTGAGATGTGATGAGCTTCCAGGACCAATCATTATTGATTCCTGTTTGATCAATACACTGTGGAAACCCCCAGACACCTGTGCGAGTCATGTAATCTGGCACAGAATCACTGTGGGGTGGCAGTAGGAGGGTACATAATTAAACCCAGCCATAGTCTATACACATTTATGCCACCTAGCTAACCATATTATGTTTAGGTTCATGCTGATACTGCATTGATTAAAATTACAGATTATTGTCCTGTACAAGGCGTTTATACAGACTTTCTTGCATTCTCGCCAGGAAGAGTGCTAAGCTAGGTGGTTAGAAGCAGGGGTGTTCAGCCCTCCACACAAAAGTAATTGCTTCTCAGGACTAGCTGCTTACCTTTAGGTAGTAAACACTGTGTGTGTGTGTGTGTGTCTGTGTGTCTGTGTGTGTGTGCGTTTGTGATTGGGGGGAAAAGGAAGAGAGGTGAAGTGTAGGCAGGACTAAAGCTAACGAGAGAGGGTTGGCTGCTTTTGTCTGCGTCGTACATGGGAACCTATCCACAAGTCTAGCAACATGCAGGTGCAGTGCTATATGGGCTCTTTGTTACTTTGTTACTGGTCATCTTTCACCATGTCACACGTGTTTCAGCCTCTTTAAACTCCCAACACGTGAGAAACTCCAGAAAGAGTGAGGCCACTCCACCTGGTTGAAGTCCAGATTTTCCTGTATACTATGTTGCTGTACTTAATAACTAACCTACATTATATATAATTATGTACATAAGGCAATTTTAGTATACCAGCTAGCTATGTATCCTTAGTAATAACTTGCTTCATTTCTTTCTTTCTTCACTCGTGCTCCTAACTGAGCTACTATAGGCAAGCTTGGCTATAAATTTTTATACATTCTTGTGGATGTTATGTCTACTAAAGTCAAAACTTCGCATGCTGTTAATTTGTGTGTGTGTGTGTGTGTAATCTACCACCACTTTTCGTATGGAACACGTACACAGTGTCATGCACTATATACTGGAGACTTGTCGCCACTGAGAGAGAAGGGGTGGGGTTAAAGTAGGCATTTACAAGTCATTGTGGTAGTGAATTGGATTGATTATCACCTGATTTTTGTGCCTCTAAGGCACTGAGTGGTAAAGTTTGTATAGCCTTTTCATTCTCCCTTAATTTCTAAGTGAATGTGTGAACAGATCTATCACAAGACCACAGCACTGTACTGTCCCTCCCTCCCTCCCCAGTCCCTGCCTGTACGTCATATAACATGATGATTATGCTAATTAGTTAGTAACAGCATGAAGATTGTAATAACAATCCCGATCAGGTTATATACAACATACCTGTAGAAAAAATTCCATGTGGCACCAAGATATATGGAAGAGAAAGAGGGAAGGAGAGGGAGAGCCAACTGCTTTATTATGTAATCCTAAAACAATTTCTGTGACTAATTTGTGTTAATCAATTATATGGACTTGTATGTTGTCCAAAGTTAGAGTGGTTTGGAAGTAATAACGTTCTAAATTATGTTGAGCTCGAATTTTATGTAGTACATTAGTGTAAGGCAGTCATGGAAATGGGAACTACCATTGGTTTAAACTGCACTCAGTTATGCTGCTAAAACAGAAAATCACATTAACGTCAAATGTATGATCCTACTTCTACCCACCCTGTCTCCCACTCTCTCAAATGTATTGTAGCATTGGATGTGTGTACAGTGCTAGCTGTGAGCTGTGGCAGCCACTCCAGCTGTGTCAATTCTCTTGACTCTGAAGAGGGCTACAGTTGTGTATGTGACTCTGGCTACAGACAAGACGGAAACTCTTGCTCATCTGCTGGTAAGTCCATCATAGTTTTGGCTATTGTTTGTGTTTGCTATTGCCAACATACACATCAGAAGCTATTACCTTTTGCTAGTAAGGCTTGTGTGTATAGTCATGACATGGTATAACTACAAGTAGTAAGAGGGGCATCTGCATCAATGGGATATAATACCCAGCCTTGTATTAGGAGATGGACAAGCTATTCATGGTATCCATAGGGTTTATTGAACAACTGTCCAAGAAGTCTGCAATCAATGGTTTCTGGGGTTCGTATGTTTGGCTGAAAGTCTGAAATAACTCAAAGTTGCATCTATCTCTCTTTCTTATCTGCCCCTCCCCTCATCTATATCCCACTTTCTTTTTTGGCTCCCTTCCCTCACTATCTTTTTCCCTTCTGCCTCCTTGCTCCCTCTCTCCTCAGCTCTTGTTCACATCACCTGGGTCATTACTCTGGTTCTAGCAACCACTATCATCTTCGTCATTGGTTGCTTCTTTGTCGCCCGACACAAGTACCTCAAAAACAAGTAAGTTTCAACTGTTGTTCATGTTGAACCAATTTTGTTTTGCTCAAAGCTGAAAGCAAAACATGAGCCTACCCGGCATAAAATAGTATCTGCCTGAGCCTAATCCATACTCTCTAAATCTGTGGAAAATTAGCCACTGTTTTTCTGCATCAGGATTTGCATGCTCATTGAGTAATGGTTGGCAGTACTATAATTTATTATTCAACTTTACAACACAGAAGAAATGAGGAGAGGATGATGAAGGGAGATGATATGGGAATGTCTGTGTTGGTGGACTGAAGGCCATAGGCTAGCAGCCAAAAGAAAATACGCACACAATAAATATAATGTTTTATAATATGAAAATTCATATGGACAGGTAATTTGGAGCAATTGCGACATGGGCATAAGTAATGGTAAGTACATATTTTATCTGGGGTGAAGTTAGTATATAATAAAACGATTCCAGAAATGATCACGTAAGATAGATTTGATGGCAGGGAGAGGGAGATCGATATCTACGGAAGGAATAGAGTTCCACAGTCGGATACGGTTAAAATAAAAATTGCTCTGAGTGTTGTTCCTTGAGAGAGAATGTCAGAGTTTGTAATGAGATGATGAGCGGGTAGAATGATTGCAGACTTCAATGAAAAAGCACTAAAGTGCAAACCCTTGGCGCTAAACGCGCGAGTTGTAGCATTGCTGTATGCTAGGTCATCATGCGTCATCGACGGAGCCAGTAACACGAGTCTCGCCGTAGCTAGTTGCATTAGCGGTTAGAGAAATGGCTCAGGTTTTTCAGAGGCTCTCATATTTGCTTTATTCGCTCTTCTGTGTTCCAATGCTCTCGCCAGACGTTTCATAGATGGAAGACAAGGCCGCAGCCACAAACTGCTCGCCAACTCAACTATTATGCTACGTTGCAAACATACCTTGCTCAGCATGTTTATCCATTGAAAACAAAGTGAACAGAGATCAAAACTGACAGAAGCCCGTGGATCGTAACCAACGTGGCGTAGCGCATGCGCCGGCGAATAAGTTCATAAGTTCATAAGCACGACCCGTAGGGCATTGGCATACAGAGCTATGGCGAGAAATAAAAATGACGAGAGGAAATGAGTTAGGTGAAAGAAAATATACGGTTTAGTCTAGAACTTGTAATTGAAAATACTGTGTCCATGTCCGCCTCTTTCAGCTTAGAAATGATTTCATCGCGTGAAAGATGGTTAACCACGTCAGAATGTCTAGACATAATATGTGGTCGACCCACAAAGAGTCTGTACCCAGAGAGGCCGATGGATATAAAGAGTCTTCGTAGATTCTGTGGCTCAGCACTTTCAACAGTGTCTGGAGTCCACGTGTTTCCCGAATACCACGATCGAGAACCAGGTCCCACAGTCGGCACCATGATAATTGACATGACGCGTGCGCGCTATATAGCCTGCCGGAGATGCGCGTGCGCGATCGGTTGCACGTTGGCTTTTTCGCTTGTTTTCAAGCCATATCTCTGGAACGCAGTCGTTTCTGGAAAATCGCCACATAAATATCCATCTTCTCGTTGTTCACAACCCGTTGGTGCCACTCATTGGCCGCCTCGTAGCCTTGCGAGAACTCGCGCGGACAGACAGACAGACAGACAGACAGACAGGCACGTTATGCAGCCCGAACATCGCGGGCAAATCCCAAGTTGGGTCGCTCCCGCTCGCCAACAATGTTCAACATTTCCACTAGTATAATTATTGAAGTGGTCAGAAGGACATTTCATTGATTTGACCAAGAAGAGGATATCGGAGATTTCAAACTCCATCATCAACGGTAGGAGATGTAAATGAATCAGTCGATCTTTATCAGTCATTGACAATAAACTTGGTGGCTTTTCTCTGAACAGCAGATTAAAATCAGAATCCAAGAGAAAGTTGCAGATGCATTTAAAGTTTGCTCTAGAAAAATCAAATACATAACCAGACTTGGATTTGACAGCAAACAAGGTGTTACAAAGAGGTACAAAGAACTGATCAGAGAAGTTCACAATGGATGAAGAGTTAATTGACCAATTAAACCATCGGCGAACTGCGCATGTGCGGTACCACTAATTGATGGGCTGGGCTTTTTATGCCTTTACTCGTGGTATCCCGCTAGTATATAGCTCGCGGAGAGTCTGGCACGGGCTAGCTACAGTAGTAAATAGCATGCGGGAGTCGATACATGCCCTTCGTTGTGACTTGTTGTGCCTTCAAGACACACAGAGCGAACGGACGCGGCCTGTGCTAATTTACATATTGGCTTGTTCACTTGGTTTTCACGCCATAACTTTAGAACGCAGTAGTTTTACGAAAATCGCCTTTTTTCAAATCAACCCAGTGTAGCACTGAACCCGATCATATCGCTATTTACCTGATTTCGTGCGCGCGGTGGCAGAAAACGTGGTAACAGACAGACAGACAGACAGACACACTTACGGGACAACTACCGTAACCCTCGCTGCGCATGCGCGCCGAGGGTTAATGATAATGTCAGGAGAAGTAAGTACAAGATCAAGAATATTACCCTTTACATGAGTAGATATTCAGATACATATGAGTTAGGTTGCAATTAATACACCTCCACCACGGGAAGGTCTATCTTTACGATATAGGACAAAATCAGAAGGAAGAATCTGCCA